ATTTGTGAGTGCAAGGGAAAAAGATAGATCTCGTGATCTAGCGTGTGGCGGTGACCTGTACAGTCATGTATGTGGCGAAAGGGTAGCTACAGGCTTCATGAAATATTTCAGTACAATTCTGACGCTGACACTGACCTTGACTGCAAAAACGCTTGCACTGAATCACACGAACTAGGGTCTGTCTTGTTGGTTGGGAACGTGCCAAGTCTGCCAAACAGCCCCACCTTGATGGCTATCAGTTCGCCCGTCGATTGCTACAACACGGAAGCATGTGTGACTTGACACCGTAGCACCAGCCAACTTCGGAAGATTCAGCCGAACTATGTGTATAAACAATCCTCAGTCTGTGGAAGAGAATTCGGGCTAAATAAAACAACCGATTTACGAAACGGATGCACGCATAGTTGACTGAAAATAAACAATCTGGCCTGTAGCCCTTGAGGATGAGGATGGATCGCACATAAACTGACATGATGTTCATGCAACTGAACTCACTCCGTTCGAAACAACAGGTATTTTTTCCATAAAGGAAACTACTCACAAGGTTACTGAAAACTCTTCGACAGCCCATGACCGGTTTCGCCCTTCTTGAGGCTCATCAGATAGGCGCAGTTCCGTCAACCTTATGTTCTACTTGAACCCAAATTGGATTGTTTTCGAGAAATACACTCATTTGCAAATCAATTTGGTTTTCACGAGAGACTCAACTGAATCTCTCGTTTATGATATTCTCTAACTGAATATGCTCTACACAGGCCACCTCATGTTTTAGTTGGCTAACCCGGCGACGTGTGGTCTACTTGAAATTCGCTTCGCCCCAGCTGCTACGAGTCAGGCGATTCGAAAAGAAGTATACAGATCAGTCCAAAGAAAATTCTGGTCGATGAACCGGCTTGATCACCACTCCTAGATCCAAGCGCTTCTCAGGAGTTCCGAGGGGCATTATGGTCTCTCATCCTTTGGAAGTATTGAACCTCCACAGCACCGACCCACAATGACAGTATGATAATTAATGGGAACAGTAACAATATCTAATAATAATTAGTAGAAAAAAATAATAAATACAATAAAATTTCACCATAGTCGAGGATTAGTTCACGACTATTTTCGACTTGCACGGTTGATATCTGTACTCTAAGCGGTTAATAAGGTTGCATAGAATAACAAGATCACTCCCGTCATTGAACGCTCCGAGAGGGGTGTAATGCTTGCCACACTATGAACAACAAGGAGGAAAGACCGGTCACTCGATGACAATGCTTTACGGGAAAGAACCCGGCGACGTGTGGTCTACTTGAAATTGGCTCGATGACAATGCTTTACGGGAAACCAGCTTGA